CCTCTCTTTACATTTTCAGTCCATTTTTCTATACCAAGCTCGTCCGTGGCGGCTATCAACATGATAGGGTTGCGAGATGGACAAAAGATGTGGATATTTTCTCGCACGAGATGGTCTTGATTCCTGTCCATAAACATGGAGTGCATTGGACCCTATTGTGTCTCCAAGAACAACGGCTGGAGTACTACGACTCCCTCGTACAAGATGATGGCGGTTTTTCTTCCGATGTGATTGCGAACTTCACGCAATACCTCCGTGACGAAGCAGTTTGTCATTATGGTCCAAAAACGAAAGTGGATCTCCAGGAGCCCAAGGTGGCTGTTCGTGGTGTCCCTCAACAATCGGACGGGTCGAGCTGCTGTGTTTTCATGCTCGCCTTCGCTTCATTTCTTGCACGCGGCTGTCCGCCACCATTTCCGATAGTCCAAAGCGACATTCCAAACATCCGGCTGAGGATTGCGGTGGACATACTCCAAGGCGCTGAATGATACCACTGTTTTAAAAATACGCGTAGTTTTTTTTTCGAAATGCCATAAGCAGAGTGCGAGTCTATTCCCACTTGATCTAACAGTCAGTCGGTTCGAACTGTGTTGTTGATTTCATGAGGTGCCGGATTGCAGTGGACGTTTTGGTCAAGTACAGGCTTAGGTGTCGATGTGAATATCCTAGCCTCGTGCTGTATCAATTTTTTAAGGGTTTTTCTTTTCGTGGAACCTGTCATCTTTACTCGTAAGGCTTTCGGCAGCGCCGTGCTTCCTTTGTTTGTTTTCGGGTTGTTCTCATTGCTTGCTGCGAAACATCAGCTAGAGAGTCGCAGCGGACGCTTACGTGAAGTAGAAGCTCAGATGCCGATGTAAATATCCCATCCACGTGGTGCAGTTCCTTTTAAGTAGACGCTTACATATCGGATGTGAATATTCCAACTTTGTGCTCCTTTTGTTTATTTTTGGGTTGTTCTCCTTATGTCCTCTCAGACCGCGGCAGCACCGTGCTGCGTTTGTTCGTTTCGAGGTTGTGCTCCTCTTTTACTCATGTGAAAGATATCGACGATTTATTCTTGGTCGCCAAATTGTTTCGTGCTTATCTCTTTCGTTCGCGAGACTTTGTGGTGTGAAAGCCCCTCTCCCCCGCCCCACCCCGACCACCCAGCTTTCATATGTTTTGGCTCATCCTTGTTCTGCGTGTGCCACCCCGTTTTACGGTTCACCCCCTCTGCTTGTCTCGATTGAATGTTGTCTGTCGGTTCCTTATGACAGTTGCGAACTTGTTATCCATTCGGAAACTAATTATCGCCAGAATGTATGTGTGCTTGAAGTTGTTTTACGGATTCAGCGGTGCACTGAGTGATCACCAATTTTGTTATCCCCGGAATACATCCCGTGCTCTCCACGGAATGCTGGTTGTTGTTTCCGTATGAGAAATGCGAACATGTTCGCACTTCGGATGCCGTACATTTATGATTGAACTATTGGTTCCATGTGAGAAATGAGAACATATTTGCACTTTGGCTCCATGCACTTTGTGATATTTGGAAAGCCTCCGTGCACTTTGCGATGCGGGATTGTATGATATTTCGCATTCAATGACTTTTTGAAACGTCTCTGTGTGCTTTGCAATTTGCCCTCGAATGAATTTCCTACATTGAATGGTTTCTGGTACTTGTTCGTGTGCTGTGACACTTCACCTTTGGAAAAACACTAGGCAACTTGAGATGTCTTCATCTCGATGTTTGCGATGTCTTTGTGTGCTTTGCAATTTGACTTGTGCTTGAAGTTGTTTAACGCATTCAGCGGTGCACTAAATGATTGTCAATTTTGTTATCCCCGGAATACATCTCGTGCTCTCCACTGGATGCTGGTTGTTGTTTCCATATGAGAAATGAGAACATATTCGCACTTTGGATACCGTGCATTTGTGATTGAACTGTTGGTTCCATATGGGAAATAAGAACATATTCGCACTTTGGCTCCATGTACTTTGTGATTTTTGGAAATCCTCCGTGCACTTTGCAATGTGGCATTGTATGATGTTTTGCGTTCAATTTGGAAAGTCTCTATGCTTTGCAATTTGCCCTTGAATGAATTTTCTCCATAGAATGGTTTCTGGAAACTGATTGGCTACTCTGAGACTTCACCTTTGGAAAAACAGTGCGCAACTTGAGATGTTTTCACCTCGATGTTTGCGATGTCTCTGTGAGCTTTGCAATTTGACTTCAGATGTTTTCATCTCAATATTTGCGATGACAAGAGATACTTGTATGAATGGATATGAATCTTCTACACAGAAAGATTTGATGGCGTTTTCAACCTGTGATATAGAAATAACAAGCCAATGTCCATATTAAATCGTCGCGCTGATGGACTGAGCAACTGCTTCTCCATCAAAGTGTGAGTTCAATCGCACTTCTGGTGTGAGCCCTGAGCGATTCCCTCGCACTTTGCTTCACGTCGAGGAGGGGATCGAACGCACCGCCTGTAAGCACCTGCACATAACGAAACAAGAGCATGTCCCAATTGGAACATCGTCGGGTCCTCACCTCATCGACTCTCAAGATGACTACAGTCAACAGCAGTAGGATGGCAGGTCCGCCTATCTGATGTGGATCTCACGGTGGCGTGCGAAACTCTGCTCTCAAAGATCCACACTGGGTAGAAGGTCCAGCAAGCAGTCGCTGCTTGTTTGTAAGGCATCTTATGATGTGTCGATATAACGGACATCCAGAACTGCTTGGTGAGATCTAGTGCTACGCCAATAAGTTCCAAACACGGCAGCAAAGTCCCCTAAGAGTGTTCTTTGCCGGGTCCTCACTACATCGACTCTCAAGATGACTACAGCCAACAGCGGTAGGATGGCAGGTCCGCCTACCCGATGTGGATCTCACGGTGGAGTGTGAAACTCTGCTCTCAAAGATTCACACCGGGTAGAAGGTCCTTCAAGCAGCCGGTGCTTGCTTGTAAGGCATCTTATGATGTGTCGATATGACAGACATCCAGAACTGCTTAGTGAGCATCTAGTGCTACACCAATATGTTCCAAACACGGCACCAAAGTCCCCTGACAGTGTTTTTTGCCAGGTCCTCACCTCGTCGACTCCCTCAAGATGAGTACAGCTGACAGCGATAGGATGGCAAGTCTACCTATCCGATGTGGATCTCACGGTGGAGTGCGAAACTCTGCTCTCAAAGATCCACACCGGTTAGAAGGTCCTGCAAGCAGCCGCTGCTCGCTTGTTAGGCATCTTATGATTTGTCGATATAACCGACATCCATAACTCCTTGCTGAGCATCTAGTGCTACGCCAATAAGTTCCAAAAACACGGCAGCAAAGTCCACTGAGAATTTTCTTTGCCGGGTCCTCACCTCATCGACTCCCTCAAGATGACTACAGCTAACAGCGGTAGGATGGCAGGTCCACCTATCCGACGTGGATCTCACGGTGGAGTGAGAAACTCTGCTCTCAAAGATCCATACCGGGTAGAAGGTCATGCAAGCAGCCGCTGCTTTCTTGTAAGGCATCTTATGATGTGTCGATATAACCGACATCCACAACTGCTTGGTGAGCATCTAGTGCTACGCCAATATGTTCTGAACACGACCGCAAGGTCCCCTAAGAATGCTTTTGGCACTGGAGTCCTCTGACCGCCGACTGTTTGGCACTTCGTGAAGGTTGACACTTCTTGAAGGTGGTCTACCACTTCTTAAAGGTGGACAGTCACCAAACAGATCACGACCTGACATCGACCTCGATAACTGCGAATTGACTCGCTGTTCAACTAGAGTCTTTTTTTTTTTCTCTCTCTCTCTCTCTCTCTCTCTCTCTCTCTCTCTCTCTCTCT